GTCGTCGTCGTTAATAATTGTTATTGTGTGCATAATAACTTTACTAATTCTATTCCAAACTTCATCAAACTTGGTTATTCATCAGTATAATGTCTTCCTTGAGTTTGAACAATAGATGTCCTGTATGAAAATATCATGCAAAAATTGAGAAAATCTGATAAAATATTTTGACTGTTTCTACTTGACTGATCACTGGTGATACACATCAAAGGTCACTGATCTCAGTGGAAATATGCATTGTTGTATGTGTTCAATGAAGCAAATGATTTATCTTGTAATAATATCCTTGGTAATGTATTCCAGAATCCCATACTGGGTTTCAAAACCAACTCATCGAGAGATTGCACAGTCTGATACACATTTGCAAACCTACCAATAAAATCTTTACAGAAAACAAGATGTCAGAAAATCAATATAAGCACTCCTATGAACTGGGTGCCAAACTTTGATCAAGATCTGAAGCTAATAGAAAATATGTTTAGTTCAAAGTTATCAAATCAAAAACAATACAACAAAAGCAAAACATTTCATCCATTTTTTAAAAAGAAAATTGTTCTAAAATATATGTATTCTGTATTTGACAAACAGTTCATTCGACAAATGAAAACTCGCAGGAATATGTTTCAGCTATTAGAACAGAATGATAGTTTTCATAATACTAGTTTACAAACGCACTCAGATTCTCAGGAGGCAACAGTACTGTTGACTTCTCCCTCCACTGGACACCAACTAACTATTTAAGTTGATTTGCATACAAAGCACAGCTTGCAACATGATAGCTATTCATAAAGGGTGTTTTTTTACTTTTCATATAATACAGTAGTCACACAATGAGGCAGTTCGTATTTGTCTCAGTGAATCATTAATTTTTGACAGACACCTGTACAAAATATTTGGACAAAAGCCAGCTAAGATTTTCTGTTATCTTGCATGTTTTATGAATCTATTCACGTCTAAATGCAGAACTTTTTTTTTGCGATGAGGCATTTATTTTTATACTAAAATATTCTGAATTACTTTGAATAAAACTGGAAATTATGTCCCTTAAAATAATTAAACAAATAAGGCACCAATGTTTTTGTAAGATATTTACATCTTTTAAGGACATTCGGTAGACTGATTCCCCACTGTTGGTTCAACCCCAAAACTTGTTTGTATTCAAAATTAATTATGACAATGCATATTTATATTGAAACAAACTATGATAAAGGGAATTATATTATACTGTAGAATACTTTATTTTCGCTTAGAATTTATTTTCGCTATTTTCACTGAAGGGATGATTCCGTGAAAATAAAATCCAGCGAATATACTTTTTTTTCCTATATTTCACATTAAACTCATCAAAAATCAGTGAAAATAAATTCCAAGCAAAACGCCCAAAAGCCTTTTCAGCGAAAATTAATTACAGCGAAAATAAAGTATTCCACAGTATAACAAAGGGCAAGGTCACCAGAGTTCAACTATGTTGTAATGATGTCTTTATTTCTCTAATTTTAGTGAATATTTTTGGTAAAAAGTGATATTTTTGACTTCTTGTTGAAAACCGCAAGTCTGATTGCTTTGATATTATATATATAAGTACTGCATGTAGACCTCTCTCAGATTTGTTCATTGTGTGATGATATCTTTAATTCTATCATTTTGGTGAATATTTCTGTAATTGTTGGTAATAAGGAGGTATGTATGGGGGTCTAAAAACTAACTCTGCGAAGCGATTGTGCGACTCGCCGAATGCCGATTATTGCACTCTGCGACAGGATCGCAGTGTCACTCTACGAAGAGCACGATTCCCATTGGTTGGTTGGTCGAAAAGCGCGAATCTCAATGGTCGATCGATGTAAGGGTACACAGCATGGCTTATAGAAATGTTTAGTTTTAAATGGTTATTTCGCCGACTGCTCGCGAACTACGGTAAACAAGTATTTACCGACGACATGCCGCGCCGCACGGTTCGGTAATCAGCAAGTATTTAACATTGATTAATTAACATATATAACATCCCCTGGAGGGAATGAAAGG